AAATGCAAAATTTATCACTAATAATTGAACAACAAAGAAATGCACTCCAAGAATCAGGAAAAAATATCAAAGAAAAAGAGTTTCTTAGTTTATCAGAAGAAAGTGATGATTTAATTACTTTTTATAAAAATCAAACAAATTTGAAAAAATTAAAACGTTTCCAAAAAACACTTCTAACACAAGAAATAATTCTTGAGAATCGGAAATCAAAACGATTAGTGTTAGTATTTGAAGACTGTGCAGGATTGATTTCTGGATCTATTTTTGAAAGGACAACTTTTTTGGATAATTCAGTCATTTCAAGTAATTTATATATCATCAACATTTTTCGAGAAAAGATAGGATTTTTACAAGGTGCACTTCAGAGATTTAATTTCACAACAGAATTTCTTAATCATCATCTTCTGAATTGCAAAGTTTCTTGGTTGGAAAAAATATTGAGAACAAAAATTGATTTGGAAAAATTGAATTTTTTTGATGAAGAAGAAATGTTAAGAAATTTGAATGATCATCGATCATCTTTTTCTTTGATTTCCACAATTCTATCTGCAGAGAAAGCTAGTTCTTTGATTGTTGCAACAAATGAAGGATTTGTTGAGGAAATTTTTTGGGTTATGTTTCCTTTTCTTAAAAGTAACGGTCATTTTGTTGTTTATTCACCTTTTATTCAACCTTTATCTCAAATTCAATATAAATTGATGCAAGAAAAATTAGCTGTAAATTTACTTTTAAGTGAGACTTGGTTAAGGAAGTATCAAGTTTTAGAAAATCGAACACATCCTGAAGTTGATATGAATACTGCAAGTGGATTTTTACTTTCAGGAGTGAAAGTTTTAAAAGACAATTAAATTCAAATTCAAATTCAAATTCAATTTAATATTCAAATTTAAATTCAAATTCAAATTCAATTTAATATTCAAATTCAATATTCAATTTCAAATTCAAATTCAAATTAATATTCAATTTAATTCAATTCAATATTCAAATTCAAATTCAAATTCAAATTCAATTTAATTCAAATTTAAATTCAAATAAATTTAATTCAATATTCAAATTCAAATTCAAATTCAAATTCAAATTTAAATTCAATTTCAATATTCAAATTCAATATTCAAATTCAATATTCAAATTCAAATTCAAATTCAAATTCAATATTCAAATTTAATATTTAATATTTAATTCAATATTTAATATTTAATTCAAATTCAAATTCAATATTCAATTTAATATTTAATTTAATTTAATATTTAATTTAATTCAATTCAATATTCAATTTCAATATTTAATCCAAATTTAATTCAAATTCAAATTCAAATTCAAATTCAAAATCAAATTTAAATTCAAATTTAATATTCAATATTCAAATTCAATTTAATATTTAAATCAATATTCAATATTCAACTCAATTTAATATTTAATTCAAATTCAAATTCAATTTAAATTCATATTTAAATTTAAATGAAAAATTCCAATAAGAAAATTGGAAATTCGAAAAAAAAAAAATTTTTTTCTTCTTTTTTTTTTTTTTCTTTTTCAATTAAATAGAAATAAACAATTTAAAATTAAATTTTAAATTCATTTTAAATGAGTCACAAAAAAAAAAACAAAAACCAAAAAAAGGAAAAAAAGATCAAAAAAAAAAAATTTTTTTCATTTTTCTTTTTTCATTTTTTTTATTAATTAAAAAAAAAAAACAAAATAATGAGTGATAAATTAGATGAAAGCACACCATTATTTGGAAACGATAACAGCAACAACGATAACAATAAAATAGGAATAAATAACGATATTGATGTTAATCCAGAAAATCAATTTCTTTCATCATCAATTTCTTCAAATGATGAACATTTTGATGAAAATCAAAATGAACAATTTGAACTTGAAGAACATAAAATTTCTAGATTAACTTTGGAAGACAGACATAAACAACTTAATATGTTGTTTGGTGTAAAACCTTGGAAATCTCATATCCAAAAAAAAGATATTCAAACCCATTCTGCTGTTTATAAATCTCTTCTCGATTCTCCTTCAAATGTTGAAAATAAAGGAATTGAGAAGGAAAGTAAATTATATTCAAAATCAAAATCAAAATCAAAATCAAAATTAAATATTAAAATTAAAATTAAAATTAAAACAAAAACCAAAAAATAAAAATCAAAAAATTTTTTTTTTCATTTTTAAAATTTAAAAACAAAATAAATTCAAAATTAAAATTACAAATTCAAATTCATTTAAAAAAATTAAAATTAAAATTAAAATTTAAATCAAAAATTTCAAAATTAAAATCAAAATTAAAAATTAAAATTAAAATTAAAATTAAAATTAAAATTAAAATTAAAATTAAAATTTAAATTCAAAATCAAATTCAAAATTAAAATTAAAATTCAAATTCATTTATAAAATTAAAATTAAAATTAAAATTAAAATTTAAATCAAAATTTAAAATTAAAATTAAAATCAAAATTAAAATTAAAATTAAAATTAAAATTAAAATTAAAATTAAATTTAAAATCAAAATTCAAAATTAAAATTAAAATTAAAATCAAAAATTAAAAATTAAAAAAAATTAAAATTAAAATTCAAAATTAAAATTAAAATTTGTTTAATTTTCTTTAAGATAAATTGTTTACATTTGGAAATATACTTTGGGTTATTTTATTTGGTTGGTGGTTAAGTTTAGTTTATTTATTTACTGCTTTAATTATGTTAATTACAATTGTTGGAAGAAAATATTCAAGAACTTCATTAATTCTTGCTGGTTATATTATTTGGCCATTTGGAAAATATTTAGAAAAAAAACAAACAATAAATGAAAAATCAACACAAGAAAAAGCTTCAAGAATAATTTGGCTTTCATTTCCTGGTTTGTGTTGATTCTGAGAAAATTTATTTCAAAATTAAAATTAAAATTAAAATTAAAATTAAAATTAAAATTAAAAATTAAAATTATATTTTAAAATCAAAATTAAAATCAAAATTAAAATTAAAATTAAAATTAAAATTAAAATCAAAATTAAAATTAAAATCAAAATTAAAATTAAAATTAAAAATTAAAATCAAAATCAAAATTAAAATTAAAATTAAAATTAAAATTAAAATCAAAATCAAAATTTATTTCAAAATCAAAATTAATTAATAATTAAAGCACCATTACTCGCAATATCACATGGTGCATGTATGCTAATAAATTGGTTTATTGTTGTATTTATACCAATGGGAAAAGTGAACTATGCATTAATCAAAGTGATATTTCAATACCCAGAACTTGTTCACGTATCAAATGCATTTTCATCAACACCTAATCTTGAATCTAAACCAATTTTACTGACTGTACGAGCAGTGAACGGGAATTATTACAAATATTCAATAAGCGGAGTAAATATCATGTTGATCAATTTGATTCCCTTTGTGATAATTTCGATCCTATTTGGATTGCTTATTCCAGAAGACAAACCATTAGGCAATCCGCTATTCATTTTCTTCTGCTGTTTATTATCAACAATACCATGTGCCTATTTTATCGGGCTTGCTATTAGCAGTCTCTCTGCACAGAGCACATTTGCTGTGGGTGCAGTGCTTAACGCCTCTTTTGGATCAATTGTCGAGTTGATTTTATACTTTTTCTCTGTCAGAAAACATCTCATCAGTCTTGTGCGATCTGCAGTCACTGGATCCTTAATGGGAACAATGCTTTTATTACCCGGATTATCAATGATTTTTTCCGGTATCAAATACAAAGAGCAAAGTTTCAATACAATCGCCGCAGGTGTTTCTTCTGTTCTTTTATTGATTTCCGTAATTGGCGGTTTTATTCCAACAGTCTATTATCAAACATACGCAAAATACGAGCTCAAATGCGCCAACTGCAATACTCTTCCTTCGGGTGAATTTGACTGCGAAGGATGCAACTACAAGGAACATGATTTGGATCACGACACAAACTACACACACGGCGCAAAACCCTTAATGTACGTTTGCGCCGTCATACTCCCTATTGCGTATTTCGTCGGCCTCATCTACACCCTCAAGACTCATGCCCATATCTACGACCAACAATATTTTGTCAACCGCGAAAACGAACGCAAAAATCGCGCTCTTTCCGGTGAGAAAACAAAAAAAGGAGAATCGGGACATGATGCCCCAGAATGGTCGCGTCCAAAATGCATCATTATTCTTTTGATTGCGACCGTTATTTTTGCTACTGTTGCCGAAATTTTGTCAAATAAGATTGAACCTTCTTTAAAAAAACTTGGTCTTTCTGAAGGTTTTGTTGGTCTTACTTTTATTGCTCTTATCCCAAATACTGCCGAGTTTGTCAACGCAATCCAATTTGCTCTTCAAAAAAATATCCCTCTTAGTATTGAAATTGGATCTTCTGCTGCTGTTCAGATTGCTTTGATTCAAATTCCTGTTTTGGTTTTGTTTACTGCTGTTGCTGGTGGTGGTCATGTTAAAACTTCTTATACTTTGATTTTCTCAACTTTGGATGTTTTTAGTGTTATTTTTGCTGTTATTATTTTGAATTATATCTCTGCTAGAGGAAGAGCTAATTATTTTGAAGGTTTTGCTCTTGTTGCTATTTATGTTTTATTCCTTTCTGCTTTTTATTTTGTTCCTGAAAGTGCCAATGATTCATCTGATTAACCAAACAAAAACAAAATCCAAAACAAATTAAAACAAACAAAATCAAAACCAAAAATCAAAAACCTTTTTTAATTTTCTTTTTTAAATAAGAAAGAATAAAAGTGGAACAAAAATTAAATCAATTTAAATAAAATTAAATAAGAAAGAATTAAATCAAAATTAATTTAAATAAGAAAGAATAAAAATGGAACAAAAAATTAAATTAAATTTAAATCAATTTAAATAAGAAAGAATTAAATTGGAACAAAAATTAAATTAAATCAATTTAAATAAGAAAGAATAAAAATGGAACAAAAAATTAAATTAAATTAAATTAAATTAAATTCAAATTAAAAATAAAAAATAAAAAAAAAATACGATCCTGATGGGACTTGAACCCACAACCTTTAGATCCGAAGTCTAACGCGCTATCCAATTGCGCTACAAGATCTTTTTTTTTAATTAAATTTTCTTTTTTTTCTTATTTTTTTTTTAAAAATTATATTATTTATATATTATTTATTTAAAATATTTTATTTTAAATTATTTAATAAAAATATATTAATTTCTAAATAAATAATATATTAATAATTAATTATAATTTATTTTAAAATTATTAAATAAATTAATTTATATTATTAAAATTATATTATTTTTATATTAATTATTTTTAATATTTTATTTATTTAAAATATTTTATTCCACTTTTTATTTAATAAAAATATATTAATTTCTAAATAAATAATATATTAATAATTAATTATAATTTATTTTAAAATTATTAAATAAATTAATTTATATTATTAAAATTATATATTATTTATATTTAATTATTTTATATTTTATTTTATTTAAAATATTTTATTTTTAAATTATTTAATAAAAATATATTAATTTCTAAATAAATAATCTATTAGTTAATTATAATTTATTCTAAAATTATTAAATAAATTGATTTATATTATTAAAATTATATTATTTAAATTAATTATTTTTATATTTTATTTATTTAAAATATTTTATTCTAAATTATTTAATAAAAATATATTAATTTCTAAATAAATAATCTATTATTAGTTAATTATAATTTATTCCAAAATTATTAAATAAATTAATTTATATTATTAAAATTATATTATTTATATTAATTATTTTTATATTTTATTTATTTAAAATATTTTATTATTTAATAAAAATATATTAATTTCTAAATAAATAATATATTAATAATTAATTATAATTTATTTTAAAATTATTAAATAAATTAATTTATTTTATCAAAATTATATTATTTATATTAATTATTTTTATATTTTATTTATTTAAAAATATTTTATTCCACTTTTTATTTAATAAAAATATATTAATTTCTAAATAAATAATATATTAATAATTAATTATAATTTATTCCAAAATTATTAAATAAATTGATTTATATTATTAAAATTATATTATTTATATTAATTATTTTTATATTTTATTTATTTAAAATATTTTATTCCCTTTTATTTAATAAAAATATATTAATTTCTAAATAAATAATATATTAATAATTAATTATGATTTATTCCAAAAATTATTAAATAAATTAATTTATATTATTAAAATTATATTATTTATATTTATTATTTTTATATTTTATTTATTTAAAATATTTTATTCCACTTATTATTTAATAAAAATATAATAATTTCTAAATAAATAATCTATTATTAGTTAATTATGATTTATTCCAAAATTATTAAATGAATTAATTTATATTATCAAAATTATATTATTTATATTTAATTATTTTTATATTTTATTTATTTAAAATATTTTATTATTTAATAAAAATATAATAATTTTCTAAATAAATAATATATTAATAATTATTAATAATTTATTCCAAAATTATTAAATAAAATAATTTATATTATTAAAATTATATTATTTATATTAATTATTTTTATATTTTATTTATTTAAAATATTTTATTCCACTTTTTATTTAATAAAAATATATTAATTTCTAAATAAATAATCTATTATTAGTTAATTATAATTTATTCCAAAATTATTAAATAAATTAATTTATATTATTAAAATTATATTATTTATAATAATTATTTTTATATTTTATTTATTTAAAATATTTTATTCTAAATTATTTAATAAAAATATATTAATTTCTAAATAAATAATCTATTATTAGTTAATTATAATTTATTCCAAAATTATTAGATAAATTGATTTATTCGATTAAAAATTATATTATTTATATTAATTATTTTTATATTTTAATTATTTAAAATATTTTATTCCACTTTTTATTTAATAAAAATATATTAATTTATAAATAAATAATATATTAATAATTATTAATAATTTATTCCAAAATTATTAAATAAATTAATTTATATTATTAAAATTATATTATTTATATTAATTATTTTTATATTTTATTTATTTAAATTATTTTATTCCACTTTTTATTTAATAAAAATATATTAATTTATAAATAAATAATATATTAATAATTAATTATTATTTATTTTAAAATTATTAAATAAATTGATTTATTCGATTAAAATTATATTTTTCCTATTTTTTTTTTTAATTTCTAAATAAATAATCAACTTGATTAGATGAATCTTGATCTTATTGTTTAAACACATCTTTAAATAATTCATTTATCAAATTTTAAATAATTCATTTTCTAAGCTTTAAATAATTCATTTATCAAATTTTAAAATTTATTTATCAAATTTTAAAATCTTTATTCATTTTTCATTTATTTAATTCAATTTTTTCATTTTAAACCAAAAAATTAAAACAAAGAAGAAAATCCAAAAATTTTAAGTGTGGGAAAAAGAACCAAATAAAAAGATAAAAAAATAAAAAGATAAAATTTAAAAGATAAAATTTAAAAGATAAAATTTAAAAGATAAAATTTAAAAGATAAAAAAATAATCAGTGTTAAATTTTTTTTTTTTTTTTGGGGATCTCAATCAAAAATTTGAAGATTCATTTCTTTCTTTTGATTTTTTTTGTATTTTTTTTGTTTTTTTTTTTTTTTGATTTTTTTTTGTATAAAATGATCAATTCAAAAAATGTTGGCAAAAAAAGGAAAGCCCATTTTAAAATGGCAATAATTGGTGAAGAAAATGTGGGTCGAAAAACCATAATCTTGAGAGTTTGTGAAACAAAAGAAGTAGATAATAGGTTTGAAGAGTTGGGAAATCAATTTCAATTCAAGCAAATGAAAGGTCCTATTATTGATTTTACTTGGGAAATTTGGAAAGGACTTCCTGAACATTCAAGTTTGTTTTCAATAAACCAAAAACAAATATAATATTATTAATATTGGATAATTTGGAAAAAAAAATTTTTACACTGATTGATTTTAAAGAATTTTTGCTTCATAAAAGAAAATTGATTTAAATTGATCAACTAAAAACTAAAAACTAAAAACTAAAAACTAATAACAATGAATCTTATTTTTGAATTTTTTTTTTCTCATTAGATAATTTCAGAGGCGCAAATGGAATAATGATTGTTTATGATATCACAAATGAAAAATCTTTGACTAGAGTCAATTCTCTCTATCATAAATTGAGAGATTGGGAAAATGAAAATGCTGAATTTGTTCTAATTGGAAATAAATGTGATTTGCAAAAGAAAAGAAAAATATCTTCTGAAAGGGGAAAAGCTCTTGCTGATGAATTGAAAATTCCCTTTTATGAAACATCAGCTAAAAAGGATATCAACCTCAAAGAGGCTTTCGATAATTTAATAATGAATTGTTTTGAAAGAAGTTTGCCTGACAAATTCATCAAGAACTTTGAAAACTTTTCATTGAGCGATGATTTGAGGCATTTATTAGAAAGAAAAGAGTTTTGTGATTTTGAAATTGAATGTCAAGATGACCGAAATCCATTCAAGAAAATCACAATTCCAGTTCATAAATTAATCATCCAAACCAGATTGAAAATTAATGAAAATCAACTCAAAAACCAATTTTATTCCATTTTATATCAAAATCCAAAAAAAAAAGTTGATGTTTTATTGAGATGGATTTATTATGGAAGAGTTTTGAATTCAAATTTGCTAATTTTTGAGGAATGGAAGAATAGACTTTCAAATATTTCTACAGCCAATTTCAAAAAAGGAAAGAAGTATCTTGTTGAAGATTTAAAAAATCTAATGACACAAGAAGAAAATAAAGATTTTCAAATCATTTCAAATGATCAAATTATTACTGTTCATAAGATAATCTTGATCGCAAGAAGTGAATTATTTAGAGGAATGTTTATGTATGTAACTGAAGATGAATCAAACCAAGTTCATGAATACAGTCATAAACAAACAGAAACTATGAAATCCTTGATTCATTTTTTTTATACTGATGAACTTCCTCAAACTAACAATCAAATAATTTATCAAGAACTAAAGGAATTGCTTCTTTTTAATTTCTTTTTGTTTATTTTCAAATTTATCATGATAAAAGAAAATAAATTAATTGTTGAATTGTTTCATTTGATTTTTTTGAATAATCATGAACTTGATTTGATGAATCATTAACATTTAATAAAAACATTCCTTTTTATATAATTCACTTCTTAATATTAATATTAATTTATGAACTTTAATTTCTTTTTCATTCTGAAAAAATTATTGTAAAATCTTTTGTTTCATTTTGTTTGATATAATTTTGATAAATCTTCCCCCAATATTCCTTTTCTTCCTTTTTAGATTCAATCCAATTTGATCAAATCCAATTCTTTTTGAAAAATTTTTAATTTATTTTCTTTTTCATTTTCTTTTTTTTTTTGGATTTTCATTTTTTTTTTTTTTGATTTTTCATAGTCAAAAAATCATCTGAATGAATTATGATTCTTAGATGATTGATGAATTTGATATTTTGTTTTTAATTTTTGTTTTTTCCAATCTTTTGTTTAATTTTGAAAAAAAATCTTCAAAATCAACAAATCCAGTATAAATGAAATTTAAAGCAATTTCAACTTCTTCTTTTGATTTTTGTGAACAAATTTATTGATAAATTTTGATAAAATTGTTTCATTATTATCAAATCTTGTTAATAAAATTAATTTATGAACTTTGAATTTAAAAGAATCATTTGATTGAATTTCAAAATCTGAAAAATTATCTTCATTTGATTTTAATAAATTGTTTAAATCTTGATTAATTGAATAAACTTGATTAATAAATTTCAAAAATTTTTGATAAATTAAAATTTTAATAAAAATCAAAAGGATTTGCATTATTCATTAATAATAAAAATTGAGCAACTTTTTCTTTTTGATCATTTCTGATTGCATAATATAAAGGAGTTTTATTTTTATTATTCTTGGTATCAACATCTGCTCCATTTTCAATGAGAAATTGAATAATTTCAATTGAATCACTTTTATTTTCATTTTGACAAATTAAATGCAAAGCATTTTCATTA